AAAAAAATTTTTTTTTCTTTGTTTTTTGAACTCATTATGGACCCCAGGCTGTCCTAGAACTCACAATAATCCTCCTGCCCCAGACTCAGCAGTGTTGGGATTATAGGCATGTGCTACCACACTGGGCTATATCAAATATTTAAAGGAAGAAATAATACTAACCCTACACAGTCTTTCAGAAAATTAAAGAAATGGGAACCTCTTTCAACTCATTTATTTTAAGGTAGCAAGCTTTTACATTTATGAAAGGTAGGAAAAGAAATATGTTCTGCAGAGTAAGTGTGGGCCAATAAAAGTAGGAAAAGACGTGCACTCTGCAGGGTGAGTGGACCACAGTGCAAGAGAGAATACAGTGCCCAAAACACATTTTATGATCTAAATATTACTCTAACACCCAAACTAAGCAAACATTATATGGAAAAAACCAAAATAAACACACAAAACAAAACAAAAAGTCTCCAAGGGTCCTTTCAAGAAAATGGCAGAGTGGTGAGCAACAACTTAGCTTTGCTGAGATTCAGAATCCAGATACTAGAAAGTAACAAACTGAAGAAAAAAACAAAACAAAACAGAGAAGCAAAGCCCTGGGAAACAGGAAGGATCCGGCAGGAAAATTAAAACATACAGTGAAATTGAAGAGACAGACCACCACATGGAGAAGGGAAGGAATGATCTGCACTTTCACATCAGCTCCTGGGAAAGGGAAACCAAATCTAAAGAGACAAAGTGAAAGCTGAAAGCTGGGGACTCCAGAGGGCTACAGGGAGAAACACAGCAGTGGAACAGAGCAGCAGGTGCTGTGAGCTGAAGGGAGAGCACAGGATTCTGCTCCCACATGAGTCCTTCCACAGGCAGCAGCTGGTGAGTGACTCCAGTCCGCGTACATGGCATATCCCTGAAGAGAGTGTTTGGTCAGTTGCCATTCCAGAGAAAGGTTGATTGTTTGAACCTGGGATCAGAGCAGCCATGGGACAGCTTCACTTCAGGATTCCCAGTGTTATGTTTGCCACAGTGACTGGGTGAGAGACAGCTAGGGAGACAGCTTTGTTCAGGGATTCATGGTCAGATTGAAAAGAGACCCCCTGAGAAGTTTGAGCTAAAAGACCCAGGCTCTGCTCCCATGGCCACAGGCCAGGTTCAGCCTGAGTTGCTCTGGATTTGAAGACACAGCATTGGTGCACTCACCTTAATCCTACTGCTTGCTGGTGCCTGCACCCAGCATGGATCTGGGATCTGATTGGTTTCTTTAACTGCCAGCATGGACAGAGACACTTGGCTTGGACATTGTGCCAAAATTGTAGATCCCAGAACACATTCAAAATCACAAAGAAATTTACTTTTTGTTTGTTATAGTTTTTATTTTTTGGGGAGTCTGTGCATTGTTTTGGGGGGATGTTTTGTTTTGTCTCTCTTTTTTCTTCTTTCCTATACTCTCCTACACCAATTTGTTGGGGCTTGGGGAATTTTTCTTTGTCCTTCCTTGTTTCACATCTCTTCTTAGTTCTTTTTTTTCTTTATTTTTTCTTCTTCTCCATTTTAATTTTCTATCTTTAATTTTTCTCTCATTTTTTTCTAACCCTAACAGGGACCCAGTGAAAAGTAGGAGTAGGTATCTTAATTTCCAGACAAAGTTGATCTCAAGCAAAAAGTGATCAGACAAGATAAAAAAGGTCAGTACATATTGGTTAAGGAAACAATTTAACAGGAAGAGAAAACATATATGCACCAAATACTGGTGTGCCCAACATCATAAAACAAACTGTAAAGAACATGAAGAATCTTCTAAACACCAATACAATTGTAAAAGGGGACCTCAGTACCTCACTGTCACAAATGGGCAATTTCAAGCTAGGCTTAGTGGTGCACAGCTATAATCTCAGCACTTGGGAGGCTGAGGCAAGAGGATTGCCATGAGTTTGAGGGTACGCTCAGGTACATAAGGAGTTCAAGGTCACTCTGAACTACATAGTGAAACACTGTCTCAAAAAAAACCCTAAACAAACTCCAAAACAACAAATAGACCAATCAACTAGACAAAAATTCAACAAAGTAGTTAAACCAAACCTTAATCCTAATGGATTTATTAGGTATCTACAGAATATTTCATCCAACAGCAACAGAGTACACATTCTTCTCAATAGCACATGAGACTTTCTCCAAAATAGACCAAATAGTACCCCATAGAACATCCTTCATATAAAATAATTGAAACTTTCCCATCCATATTATTAGATCATAGTACAATGAAGCTAGAAATTAATAGCAAAAGAACCAAAAAGACACTATGCAAACACATGGAAATTAAACAATACCCTCTTGAATAATCAATGGGTCACAGATGAAATTAAGGAAGAAATTAGACAGTTCCTATTGTCTAATCAAACAATAATGTCAGTATGACAACTGGAATCCATGGTACACAGTGAAAGCAGTCCCAAGAGGGAAGTTTATAGCAATGAATTTTCATATGAGGAAAACAGAGCAAGTTCAAATAAATAACCTAATGATCCATCTCAAGTTCCTAGAAAAACAAAAAGAATACAAACTCAAAGCTAGTGCAAGGAATGAAATTAAAGATCAGAGCAGAAATTAATGAAGTTGAGATTTTTTTTTTTTTTTTTTCCAGGGACTTTTGATTTTTTTTTTTTTTTTTTTTTTTTTGGTACCAGGGATCAAACTCAGGACCTTGCACTTGCAAGGCAGGTAACAGCACCACTAAGCTAAGTTCCTGGCCCAATGAAGTTGAGATTTTAAAAAATACAATGAATCAAAGAGTTAATTCTTTGAAAGAAAGCAGACAAACCCTTAGTCAATCCTATCAAAACAAAGAAAAGACCCAAATGCATGTAATTAAAAATGAAAAAGGAGAAATCACAACATATTCCACCAAAATCCAGAAAATCATTGGTAACTGCTTTGAGAACCCATACTTTAACAAAAGGCAAAATTCAGAAGAAATGGATAAATTCCTGGATACACATGAACTACCAAAGCTGAACCAAGAAGATATAGAAATCCTGAATAATTCAGTATCAGCCAATGAAATTGAAGAAGTAATAAAAGAAATACCAACTAAGAAAAGCCAAGGTCCCAACTGACTCATCCTACAAGAACTTTAGAGAAGATCTAATGTCAATATTCCTCTAACTCTAATAAAATTAAAAGGGAAGCAGTATTCCCATAGTCATTCCTAGAAAGAAGTATTACCCTATTTCCAAAACCAGAAAAGGACCTCACCAAAAGAGAGAACTACAGGCCAATCTTTAATGAACATAGATACAAAAATCCTCCATAAGATACTGGCAAATAGAATGCAGCAGATCATCAAAAAGAGCATACATCATGACCAAGTAGAATTTGTTCTAGGGATGTAGTGCTGGTTCAGCATACACAAATCAATATATTAACCCACCACATAGAAGGAAGGACAAAAATCACATGATCATCCTTTTTTTTTTCACATGATCATCTTAATAGATACAAAAAAAGCATTTGACAAAATCCAACATCCATTTGATATGGGATCTCCAAATAATCCAAATAATTTGAAGAAAATATTTTAACTCCCAACCTACTAGATATATGTAACACTGAGTTTGTATTCTCTAAAATTGAAGAATGAATTCTAGGAACAACAGAAGTTAAGAGTAGGAAAAATTTGTTGAGAGAAATATACCTTCTGTTTAAGAGAGACAGAAGGAGGACCAGAAAGTAGGTTGCCTACCCACTCTGCTTCTCAAAAGTGTTTTATTTTTATTTATTTATTTATTTATTTATTTATTTATTTTGGTACTGGGGATCGAACTCGGGTCCTTGTGCTTGCAAGGCAGGCAATGGAACCACTGAGCTAAATCCCCATCCCTCAAAAGTGTTTTATTGAGCAAAGCCACAGGTGAGACAGGTATAAGGTGGGACAAAACTACATTCAACTAATAAGATTACAAGTATAGTCCCATAGGTAACATTGATCCAATGGGAAATCATGAGGTGGGACAAAACTATGGTCAGCCAATACAGTTACAACAAGTATAGTCACTTAGGTTATATTGATTAAATGGGGGTCAAATGGGGAAGCAAGTCACAGAGCAAGCATAAATGGCAAGAAGAAGGATTTGGGGGAAGGAATGGGCTAGGGGGGTTTTGGTCCCCACCTAAGGGGATTGATGCCTATTTAGAATACCAATCACTGCTGTTCATCCCTAGGGCAAGTACGTGGGTATAGGTCTCTTTTGAATCCTGGCCTTCAGTAAATGAACCTCAGGCCACAGCTGTCTTCTGTGCTGAGAGCCCAGCCCTGCCTAACTGCCTTATTTTTTTTAATTAATTTTATTGGTACATTTTAGGTATACAATATAATGACATTTATCATTAGGAATTTGCACCTTTACATAATTCATCTTGGTTCTTATTTTTTCCCCTTCCCCTGCCTTCCCTTCAACCCCTCTATTCCTCCCTGTTTACAAAGACTTTGTTTCCATTTTTTCTTCTTCTCATATTAATTCCATTCCCTTCTTTCTTTTTCCCTACCCCTCCCTCCTAAGACAGCTAAGCTAGTTAGAAAATATTATAAGGACAACTCCTAACTGCCTTATAATAGTTTCTAACTAGCTTAGCTGTCTACACATTCATGACCAAAAGTCTGAAGAAACAGAAAGAGAAGGTCTTTATTTCAATGTGATAAAAGCCTGTTATGACCAACATCATACTAAATGGAGAGAAGTTGAAAACTTTACCTCTAAAATCAGGAACAAGACAAAGATATCCTCTATCATCACTCCTATTCAATATAATTCTGGAAACATTAGCCAGAGCAATTAAACAGAGAAAAAAATAAAAGGGATATGGACAAGAAAAGAAGAAATCAAATTATCCTTATTTGCAGATGACATGATCCTCCACATAGAAGACCCCAGAAAGTCCACCAAAAAACTCCTAAAATTAATAATCAAATGGAGAACTATAGAAGGTTACAATACTCTAAAATCAATTTCATTCATGTACGCCAATAATAAACTCATTGAGGGAGAATTAGGGAAATAATTTCTTTCAAAATAGCATCAAAAAATGAAATACTTATGAATTAACTTAACCAAGGAATTTAAAGATCTGTACAATGACAACTACAGTACTCTGAAAAAAGAGCTTGAGGAGAACATCTGAAAATGGAAAAATATTCTCTGTTCCTTGATAGGCAGAAACATAGTCAAAATAACCATACTTCCAAAACAGTTATACAGATTTAACTCAATCTGAATCAGAATCACAACAGCAATCCTCACAGAACTAGAGAAAACGATCCTTAAATTCCAATGGAACTAGAAGAGACCTAGGATAGCAAAAGCAACTCAGATCAACAAAAACAAGGCAGGGGCATCACAATCCCAGACTCTACAAAGCTAAAGTAATTTAAAACAGCGTGATATTGGCAATAAAACAGACTTGTGAATCAATGGAAAAGAATAGAACATGCATAACCAACTCTAGGAACACTCAGCTACCTTATTTTTTGAGAAAGGGGTCACCTATTTTTGCTAGAGGAAAGACTGCCTCTAACATTTGGTGATGAGAAAATTAGCTATCCACATCCACAAGATTGAACCTAGACCATTTCTCTCATGACGCATTAAACTAAAACCAACATAGATCAAAGATCTGGATATTAAAACAGAAACATTTAATCTAATGGAAGACAAAATAGGTAAAACTCTTGAAGATATAGGTGTAGGCATGGACTTTCGGAACAGAACCTCCATTACACGAGAAATAATAGCAAGAATCAACAAATGGTATCACATCAAATTAAAAAGCTTCTGCACAGCAAAGGAAACCACCAACAGAGTGAATAGACAATCTATGAAATGGGAAAAAAATTTTGCCAACTACTTCTCAGACAAAGAAATAATATCTAGAACATATAAAGAACTCAAAAATTAGACCCCCCTAATTTAAAGATCCAATGAATAAATAAGCACCTGGAAAGAACAGACACTTCTCAGATGAAGAAATACAAATGGCCAATAATTGAAAAAATGTTCAGCATTCCTGACCAGTTGAGAAATGCAATTAAAACAACATAATGATTCCATCTCACTCTGGAAAAAATGACCATCATCAAGAAATTAATAACAAATGCTCGAGAGACTGCAGGTAAATAGCAACCTCTTCATTGTCGATAGAAGTATAAACTGTTACAACTGCTATGGAAATCAGTATGGATATTTGTGGGGGGCCTTGCCCCCCCCCCGCTGGAATTCTTGAGTGCCTATTACGGACATGCCCGGGCTTGTTGCAGATCTACCCAGCAACAAGGAAGTAGCCCCAGTACACTCCTCTTGCTCCTCCCCTCTCGCCCTACGGTATATATGTTGTAGCAGCTTCCGCAATAAACGAGACTTGATCAGAAACCTGTCTTGTCTCCATCTCTCGTGTCCCCTGTCCCCTCTCATCCTCGCTCCCCCTCTAGGGTCTCCGTTGACTTACCCGCGGGCCGGGACAGATATTCCTCAAAAAACTAAAAATAGAGGGGTCATGGATTTAGCTCAGTGGTGCCAAGCCTGCCTTGCAAGCGCAAGTTCCTGAGTTGGATACCTGGCACCACAAAAAACAAAACAAAACAAATAAACAAACAAAACAAAACTAAAACTAGAAATTCCACTGGACCCAGCTATTCCCCTTCCCAAAAGGGTTAAAGACATTATACTACAGTGACACATGGACACCTATATTGATAGCTAAATCTTGGAAGGAGCCTATATGCCCATCAACAAATGAATTCATAAAGAAAATTTGGTATTTATGCACAATGGAGTACAATTTTGCCATAAAGAAGGATCAGCTTGAGTCAGTTGTAGGAAAAATTGGGCACCTTGAGACCATAATGTTAAGTGAAGTAAATCAGATACACAAGCTTAAATAGTACATGGTTTTTATTATATGAGAAACCCAGTATATAAATAAAATGCAAAATAAAAGACAATATGAAAAATATTATTGTAATCCAGCATAGCCAGTGTATCTAAAAGTATATCTTGATTTAGTATAATTGTCTTATGTGTTTTATATGTCTTTTGGTCTGTTAGTCTAGCTATTAATCTGTTTATGATAATTAACTTGATAAAATCTTATAAATGAATCTGATGCTGCAAGAAAAAAGAAAAGCAGGGATGGAGGTGAAGGGGAAAAAGATTGAGATGTGTTATGCACATGTACCAATTCCTCACAATGAATTTAATCATTATGTACTACAAATGTGTATAATCAAAAGTCTAAAAAGGAAAAAACAAGAAGAGATATACACATAATGGACTCCTAAGCAAGTTAGTACTTGGAAAATGTCATTGTTTTGCCTCTACCATGTTCCGGTCATCTTCTGAACATATGATAATAATGATGAGCAAGACAGATCTATATTAGCATAGAGCTCATAGCTTTCATACTGATGAATAACTATAATACTCGGTGATGCAGGCTACAAAGTATTTAGGCAGTAGTATAGATGAATGGTAAGACTGAGAACTTTTCCAAGCATAAATGTGTGGCCAATAGAAGAAAATACTCAAGTAAGTGGTATTGAACATACTATATATTCAGTGCTTACCTGTACTTACACAAATTTTTCCATTAGATCACAGCTATGCAAAAGCTCTCTGGTGTCAACACCACAAATCTCCCATAAGAACACTCAATCAAATTATTTCACCAGGGCAGGGATTTAGCTCTGTGGTGCCGAAGCCTGGCTCACAAACACAGGGTCCTGAGTTCAATCCCTGGTCAAAAA